TGGTTATGGAGGTTGCTCATACCTCCATGATCCATGCCGGTGCACCCCATTTTCTGTGGCCGTTCACTGTTCGCTACGTTGCTCACCAGCTTAACATGTGGCCACACTCCCAGCGGCCGCAGGTTTCGCCGACCCTTCTCTGGACCGGGTTCCCTGGTGACGCGTCTGCGTTCCATGTCTGGGGCTGCCTCACTCACGTTCATGCCTCTGGCATGGACAAGCTTACTGCCCGCACCATCCCTTGTGTCTTCCTTGGTTTCCCCCTTGACGCGTCTGACTGGCACTTCTACCACCCGCCTTCTCACCGCTTTTTTCACTCGCGTGATGTCAGTTTTGACGAGTCTGTCTCCTTCTACCACCGCTTTCCCCACCAAGGTCTCCCAGTTTCCCCGCCCCTGTTTATGGTTCCCACTTACACGGTAGCCCCTGCTCCTCTCCCTCCCCTTCCTGCCCCGTCTGGTGTGTCTCACGTCACTCCCCTCTCGTCGCTTGTCCTGGTTGAGGAGTCGGCTGACTCCGGGGGCCCCGCGGTTTTGGTTTTGTCGCTTGTCTTAGCCACAGTGTCCCCTCCTCTGCCGCCGATGCCGCTGCAGCAGTCGCTGCCGCTGCGGCCGCAGCAGCAGCCACAGCCATTGCAGCTACAGGGGTCCTCGAGTTATGCGGGTGCTGGTTCTGGGGGTGCAGGTCTTGGGGTTACTGTCGTGGCTTGTCCCGGCGGTCTCGGGGGTGGCACCGGTGCTGGAGAGGGTTCTCGTTCTAGGGGTGTTGGCGTGGAGTGTCCTGGAGGCAGCCGTGGTGCAGCCGGAGGTTCAGGTGTCGGCGTGGAGTGGCAGCCGCAGTAGCCGCAGTCGCCGACGGTGTTCGCCTTTCGCCTCCTTGGTCTTCCCTCCCCTGACCACCCAACTCCGCCTCCCCCACCGCCGCCTCCCCTGCCTGTTCACGGCCCTGTCCATCCTCTAGTGGACTCGTCTCTCCCTCGTTCTCCTCCTGTGTCTCCTCCCTTGTCTCTTGACCCGACGCCTCCGTCTCACGTCTGGTCTCGCTGTCCCTCACGTGCTCGTCCTGTCTCCCCTGTTCAGCGCTCCCACCCTATGTTGCTTCGTTCCCACGTGTCTCGTCCTCCCCTCCTCCCGTCGCCTCCTCCGTCGTCGCTTGTTGTCGTGCCGCCTCCCCTGTCTGACTACCTTCGTGCTGCTAGTCCTCTTGTTCCTCGTGTCCTTGCCTCCCTCGCTACCGACCCGTCTGTTCCTGTCTCGAGTCTTGACGCTCTTGTCATTGCTGTCGCTGACTTCACCTCTACCCGCGACCTTGACTACGCCACCGCTCTGGTCTCTGATTGTGTCAGTCCTCTGTCCGTCGAAGGTGCTCCTGCCCTTGGCAATGATGTCCTGGAGGACCGGCGGTACGAGCTTGCTTTCCTGTCCGAGGCGGCGCCTCATCTCTGCTCCAGGCTGCTAGTCCCTCAGGGGGACCCAGACGCCTTTGACATCCCGACCCCTCGTACTTACGCTAAGGCGACCTTGGGACTCTGGGCCTCTTAGTGGATAGCTACCATGGACGCGGAGATGGCATATTGGAGGTCCACTGGCACCTACGTTGATGCAGTTCCCCCACCAAGGGTGAACGTAGTCGATGGCCGGTGGCTCTTCAAGGTGAAGCGCCCTCCTGGAGAGCCGCCGGTGTTCAAAGCGCGCTATGTAGCTAGAATCTTTAATCAGCGCGAGGGTGTTGACTTCTTCCTGACTTTCGCCCCGAAGACGACCACTCTTCGGGCGCTGCTACACGTAGCAGCAGAGCGTGACTATGAGCTGCACTCCTTGGACTTCTCGACAACGTTTCTTCAGGGCAGTCTGCACGAGCAGGTCTACCTGTGTCGCACGCCAGGCTTCACCGGCACCTTCGCCCCGTGGACCCAGTGGCTCCTCCGGCGCCCGGTTTACGGCATGCGGCAGGCGCCGCGCGAAATGCGCGACACGCTGCGTGCTACGTTAGCTGAGCTGCAATTCTTCCCGTCCTCTGCAGACCCTTCCCTCTTCGTTCGTGTTGGCCAGACCTTGCTCTACAACCTTGTCTACGTAGATGACCTGGTCTTTGCTACTGCAAACTGGGACGCACTGGCCTCCGTGAAGCCTGAGTTGTTGAGGAGAGGCACATGCACTAACCTAGGAGAGCTGCGCCACTACCTTGGCATGCAGATCTCCAGGGACAGAGTGGCGCGCACCAGGGCATCACTCTGACACAGTCACAATTGGTGCGCCATGTCCTTCAGAGGTTCGACCTTCAGTTCTCCTCTGCACAGCCAACACCTCTGCCGGTAGATCACAGACTCTCAGCTCCAGTCCCTGAGGAGTCTGTAAAGCCTAGTGGTCCTTACGCAGAGCTGGTGGGTTGCCTCATGTACCTGATGACTTGCACTCTCCAGATCTCGCATACCCTTTCGACATCTTAGATCGCTTTGTGGCCACAGGCAGACACCGCCCACAGCACTGGTCGGCCGCTAAGAGGGTTTTGCGTTATCTAGCAAGTACATCGGGCATGGGGCTAGTGCTAGGAGGACACAAGCCAGTGGTCCTTACAGGTCACACAGACGCTTCGTGGGCAGGCGACGCTGAGACAATCAGGTCCTCCCAGGGCTAGTGCTTTAGCCTTGGTGCAGGCGCCGTCTCGTGGCGGTCCACTCGTTCGTCGTCTGTTGCCCAGTCTAGCTGTGAGGCTGAGATCTATGCCGGTGTCATGGCGGCACAGGAGCTCCGCTGGCTGACCTTCTTGCTCACAGACTTAGGTGAGCGGCCTAACTCTGTCACAAAGCTAGGTTAGCTAGGAAGGTAGGCGGCCATGAAATGGCGAGAGGTTTAGGAGCTAGGAGTGAAAGTTGACGACAGAAAAAGAGAGAGAACTAGAAGAGAGAGAGGTATACAAGGAGGGAGTTGTACCCTCTACAGTAGAGTTCGATAACCTACCAAGCCTATAATTATATAACAAATATAATTTAACACACCCCCTAGGCTTGGTAGCGGCAAGCCCACCACACACACAGCACACCAAGCCACACACCGCCTAGCACCCCCATACTCAGCAGCAGCGACAGTTACTTCAGCACGGTCAACCCCACGGCGCGTGAGGTGGGGCGACGTCGACAACGAGGGCAGCGGCTGCAACGGCGGTGACGGCGGCAGCGTCGACAGCGGCGGCGGCGGTGGTGTGCGGCGGCGGTGTGCGGCGGCGTGGCCAGCTGCACCAGCTGTGGCGACGGCGGCTTCGACGACAGCTGCCGGTGGCGGCGGAGCTCGCAGCACTCGGCGGCGTGGCCGGGCTCCACGACGGTGGGACGGCCGGCGCGAGTCAGCCATCGGCTGCGGCAAGGAAGAGGGGACGCAGGGGAAGGGCGGGCAGGGCTTCAGCAGCGGAGTCCGGGAGCGTGCCGCCCCGTGTGGCGCGCTGGCTGCATGCGGGCGAGCAGGCCAGCGCTAAGACGGGGCGCTGGCCGCTGCCGTCAGCGCGCTGTCGCGTAGACGCCGCGGCAGCGTGACGGCGCCATGGCTTGATTTTGACGCCACGACAGCGCGACGCCACGGCAGCGCGTCGCGACGGCCGCGGCAGCACGACGCGGCCGGCGGCACGACGACGCGGCCACAGCAGCTTGACGTGGCCGCCATGACAGCGAGAGAGAGAGAGAGAGAGAGAGAGAGAGAGAGAGAGAGAGAGAGAGAGAGAGAGAGAGAGAGAGAGAGAGAGAGAGAGAGAGAGAGAGAGAGAGGGAGAGAGAGAGAGAGAGAGAGAGAGAGAGAGAGAGAGAGAAACAAGCCCGCGGCGGAAGCGTGAGGAGCAGGCCCACAAGGAACGAACTGCTCCAATACCATGTTACAAAGCTAGGTTAGCTAGGAAGGTAGGCGGCCATGAAATGGCGAGAGGTTTAGGAGCTATGAGAGAAAGTTGACGAGAGAAAAAGAGAGAGAACTAGAAGAGAGAGAGGCATACAAGGAGGGAGTTGTACCCTCTACAGTAGAGTTCGATGACCTACCAAGCCTACAATCATATAACAAATATAATTTAACAAACTCTGCCCCGGTCCTGTACACTGACAACAGGGCCATGATCCTCCTGTGTCAAGAGCCTCGACTGGAGGGCAAAGCGAAGCACATCCAGTTGCGGTACTTCCTCCTGCGCGAGCTGCAGCAGCGTCACCAGGCTCGCGTAGTACACTTGGCCTCATGTGCCAACACAGCTGATATCTTTACGAAGGCGCTTGATTGTGTACTGGTACTTTTATATTAACTTGACTGGTCTTGTGGCCCTTGTCCCAGTGGCTGGACTAGTAGTACCACCCTGGATTGCTCTTGTTTAGTTTGTACTCTTGCTGACTGGTCTTCGGACCCCTGCCTCAGTGGTTGGACTAGTAGTGCCACCCTGAGCTGTGTGTCTCTTGCCAGGCACTGCCCCTCATCTAGCCTAGGGGGTGTGTCAAACATATTTGTATATGTCTTATAGGCTAGATAGGTGTGTACTCTTAGAGGGTACAACCCCTTTCGACAAAACCTACCTGTTTGCATTATTCATTCTCACTTTGATACACTGTGTGCTGAGCACGTGTTGACACTTCGTGCTTGCCTCTCTTGTCCTAACTTCGTTGTCGGTCCAAACTTTAGGAACGCGATCTCAGCTCAGAAGGCTTTCCATGCATCACCGTTTGGGACCGTGAGATACCGATCGCACTCTTCAGGACTCACCTAAGGTGACGAAACAGGGTTGAAGGTGAAGGCCGACACGTGTTGGGGCGTGTCCAGCGTGTACGTTTCCAATTCACTTTATACGGTTCAATGTGGTGCTCGGTTGTCCAACGTGGTGATATGCGAAAACCGCTCCCGACTGCAATGTATCCTACTGAACCATCGTGATTAACATACGCGCCGAACACACCCTTAGCGCTGTAGGGTTGAATGCCGTTCCGTTACGCGTCACGGTTAGAAGTGGAAAACAACACCTAGTTTTAGGTGGTGTCGCCAATTTCCAACTACTGTATGCTGCTGAAGGACAGTTGCATGTTATCATTTACACGAGTATCATTTACGCATAATTCATTATTGTAAGCAATAGCAGTTGTTGAAAAAGGGGCAAAAACAAGAGCACTTATTGTTGAGACTTGTCTTGTAACACTCCAATAATGGTAACATGGGAGGTGGTGGAGGGGAGGGAGGTGAAGGGGGGGGCCTAGGCGGAGGAGAGGGGGGAGGGGATGGTGGGGGAGACGGGGGAGGGCGAGGTGGAGGGGAAGGGGGAGGGTATGGTGGAGGAGACGGGGGAGGATGAGGTGGAGGGGAAGGGGGAGGGGATGGTGGAGGAGACGGGGGAGGATGAGGTGGAGGGAAAGGGGGAGGGGATGGTGGAGGAGACGGGGGAGGATGAGGTGGAGGGGAAGGGGGAGGGGATGGTGGAGGAGACGGGGGAGGATGAGGTGGAGGGGAAGGGGGAGGGGATGGTGGAGGAGACGGGGGAGGATGAGGTGGAGGGGAAGGGGGAGGGGATGGTGGAGGAGACGTGGGAGGATGAGGTGGAGGGGAAGGGGGAGGGGATGGTGGGGGAGACGGGGGAGGATAAGGTGGAGGGGAAGGGGGAGGGAATGGAGGGGATGGAGGGGGGAAGGAGGGGGGTGAGGTGGGGGTGAGGGAGGGGGGGAGGGAGGAGGGGAGGGGGGAGGACTAGGAGGAGGTGAGGGGGGTGGGGAGGGGGGAGGACTCGGGGGAGGTGACGGGGGGGGGGATGGAGGGGGAGGTGAGGGAGGAGGGGAGGGTGGAGGGGGAGAAGGTGGAGGAGATGGGGGAGGAGGGGAAGGAGGGGAAGGAGGGGGGATGGTGGGGGAGGGGAGGGAGGTGGAGGGGAAGGAGGAGGAGGGGAAGGAGGAGGAGGGGAAGGAGGAGGAGGGGAAGGAGGTGGAGGGGAAGGAGGAGGAGGGGAAGGAGGTGGATTTGGTGGGGATGGTGGGGGGGAAGGGGGAGAGGGGGGAGGAGAAGGAGGTGGGGGGGAAGGAGGAGGAGATGGGGGAGGGGAAGGAGGTGGGGGGGAAGGAGGCGGGGATGGGGGAGGGGAAGGGGGAGGCGGTGAGGGAGGTGGAGACGGGGGAGGGGGTGGTGAGGGTGGGGGGGAGGGAGGGGGTTTGGTGGGGGACGGGGAGGGCGAGGAGGGCGAGGAGGTGGGGACGGAGGGGGAGGAGGGGAGGGAGGAGGTGGGGGTGAAGGAGGGGGGAAGGTGGAGGGAAAGGGGGGGAGGGCTTGGGGGGGGAGAAGGAGGAGGGGAGGGAGGGGGAAAGGGAGGGGGGCTTGGGGGAGGAGATGGAAGAGGGGGAGGAGGGGAGGGAGGCGGGGAAGGGGGAGGACTAGGTGGGGGGATGGGGGAGAGGGGGGAGGATTGGGTGGAGGAGATGGCGGAGGGGGAGGGGGAGGTGGGGGAGATGGGGGAGGGGATGGGAGTGGTGGTGATGGTGGGGGGGAGGGAGGTGGGAGAGGAGGCGGGGGTTGGGGGGGAAGAGGGGGAGGAGGTGGTGGAGAGGGAGGGGGAGCTGCCATGCAGGGGCGAAGGGGGGAAGGGGGGGGACGGGGGGAAGGGGGAAAGGGGGAAGGGAGGCAGGAAAGGGGAAATTGGGACATAAGGGAGATTGGTCAGGTGCAATTGGAAAAATGCTTAGAGAAATGCCATGAAATGTAAGGGAAGAGAGGACGATGGGAGGAAGAGAGGACGACAGGAGGAAGAGAACAGACCAACAATTTCCGGGAAAGGAGGGGGTGGTTGGAATCGTGAGGGACTGGCTATAAGGAACGCAGGGAATGGAAACGTAAGGGGCAGGAGGGGGGTCAGGGAGGTACGAGCTCAAGGAAGAGAGGGAGAAGCCCTTCTCTTATATGATGAGTGACATAGTGGGAGAAACCGAGCTTGCTGCTACCCTACCCGACCTCTCAGTGGGCAGATTTTGGCTTTTGAGTTGACTCAAAAGTCACCTTGCTGCCGTACCCGGCTTATCAGTGGGCAGATTGTGAGAGCAGTCACGGGGGGTAGAGGGCTAGGTCGGCTTAAGTCGCTTCTCAAGCTGAGAGTAGCCATGGAAGAGTAGACACCACCCGAGACATCGGAGTTGTCACAGGCGGCAGAGGGCCTTTGAGGTGGCTCAAAAGAAACTGAGAGACGGATGGACAAATGAACAGGGCTCGTGCAGGGCACCAGAGACTCGTGAGGGGGCAGGCAGGCAGGCAGGCAGGCAGGCAGTCCCGTTAGCAGCACGAGTCGGCCCTGCCGCCCACGTGCACTTATGCCATATGGTAATCATGGGGAAGACAGAAGGGGAGGTGGAACCAAGGGAGAACGGACATGGGAAACAGAGTGTAGGTGGGGTGTGGAGGGGTGGGGGGAGATAGAGAGAGACTCACGAGGAGGCAGGCACGCAGTCCTGTTGGCAGCAAGAGTCGACCCCGCCCACGTGCAGACACACCGGATGGTAACCAGGGAGGGAAGAGACGGGGCCGTGCGAGCAGGGAGGAAAGCGAAGGGGCAGTGTAACGGGGGACGAAGGGGCAGTGTAACGGGGGACGCCATGAGAAACAACAACAGAGTGCAAAGGGGGTTGGCAGGGAAGAGAGACTCACGAGCAGGCAGGCACGCAGTTCCGTTAGCAGCAAGAGTTGACCCCGTCCACGTGCTGCAGTTGCCCCGATGGCAACCAGGAGGAGGAAAGGAGGGGTGGCACAACCAAGATGGACATAGGAAACAGAGTGGGAGTGGAGGGGTGGGGGGGATAGAGAGAGACTCACGAGGAGGCAGGCAGGCAGTTCCATTAGCAGCAAGAGTCGACCCCGCCCACGTGCAGTTACACTTGATGGTAACCGCACCAGTTGTCGCTGCCACTGCCGTCACCAAACACACCCCAATTCCGTACGTGCACTGGCTGTTACTCCCCGCAGTGGTAACCAGATTGAAACTCGTCGTGCAAAAGCTGGTGCACTCCGCTGCCGTCCTCTGTGGCTCATTAACCGTAACAGGGTTACCACCTGTGCTCGTGCTGCTAGTGCACGTGTCTGATGCGTATAAGAGGCAGTTATTGGAGGTTTGGACAGCAGAGGAGGCGTTCGGGCAGATGGAATTTCCAGCGAGGTCGACAATGTTGCCCGAGCCGAAGAAATAGTTGTTCTGGACGTTGTAGAGTTGGGCGAGTAGGGCTGAGCTCATGGGGGGGACTGGCCCAGTGAAATAGTTGGAGGAGAGGTCCCTGAGGTGAGGGGTGTGAAGGGGAGAGAGGGAGAGGAGAGGGAAAATGAGGGAGAGGGGAGATCGGATCGGAGGCCCCTCAGAGGTGGACGTGCAGAGCTGAGCTCATGGGGGGGACTGGCCCGGTGAAATAGTTGGAGGAGAGGTCCCTGGGGTGAGGGGAGCAAGGGGAGAGAGAGAGGAGAGGGAGGAGAGGGAGGAGAGGGAGGTCTTGAGGTGCCTCAGAGTCACGCGAGCTGGGCTGAGCTCATGGGAGGGACTAGGCCGGTGGAATAGTTGGAGGGGAGATCCCTGGGATATCAGGGGGAGAGGAGAGGGGGATAGGGGAGGGGGAGAGGGGAGGGGAGAGGGGAGGGGGAGAGGGGAAAGGGAGAGGGGAGGGGGAGAGGAGAGGGGAAAGGGAGAGGGGAGGGGGAGAGGAGAGGGGGAGTGGGGAGGGGGAGAGGTGGAGAGAGAAGTAGTTGTTTTGCCGTCTCTCTCTTCCACAAGCTCAGCTCCTCCCATACAGCTTTGAGCCAGCCACCTCACAACGCTTCCCAGAGGCACTGCAATGCCAGCTCTTGGGAGGGAGTGGGAGGCAGTGGGCGTGCAAAGAAAGTGGAAGGATAGGCCTGTGGTGAGGGACTGTGCCGGACTGGGAAGGACTGGGAAGGTGGGACTGGGCATGTGAAACAAATGTTCAAGGATGGGCCCGTCACCAGAGGCCTTTGAACGTTACCATAAATGCTCAGGCAGGGCAGCGTTTAGCGTTTAAACACTGAACGCTTGGCCAAAATTCTCTGGACAGCCCGGCGAAAAAAACACGATTTTTTTTTCCTGCGACATTACGACTTGGCGAATTCAACCAGACATTTGCCAAGTCGCAAATCCCAACCTTGCGACCAAAAACGCATCCAACCCTTTCGCCCGCTCAACCGCACTGCACTCTTTTCTATCTATGACTTCCAACCTAACCAGTTTCTCCCCTCCAACCCTCACAATGTCTTCCCTGTCAAAAACGCTAACCCTAGAGTTCCGCGCGCCTTAGTCGTAGCGCAAATCCAGCACCTATTCGCTCATCTCCCACCCTAGCCACCTGATTTCGCGCTAAGTCAAGAGCCTCGCCCAGGTCGACCCCCCCCAATGATGTTTTGACATCCCTAAACTCTTATGTGTGGAAAGATTTTGAATGAAAATGTTTGCTGCCATAATCCCCTACCTCTGCCTGGTTTTTTCCCCTGCCTGGGGTAATTTTTTTGCTGCACAGGCGTGCGTTTATCCTAGCGTTAAGAAACCCTGGCAGGCGCATTTATCGTTTAAATGCTAGCGTTTCAACAATGCGTTTAAAACGCTAAACACGTTTACGGTAACTTTGAATCGAGTCAAAGGAAAAGGTTGACGGAGGGAGGGACCAGTCATTCGCGGGTGACAGGGTTGGTTAAGAGACATCAGGGACGAGCCGAGCCAGTTTTTTTCTGGCCCCAGCTCGACTCGAGCCGAGCCGACTTTTTTCTGCCCCCGGCTCGACTCGAGCCGAGCCTGCTGGCCGCCTAGCCTTCCGCCTGCTGTTGACGAGCCGGAGTCGAGCCGAGCCGTTCGGCTCGAAGTCGAGGCAGCGCGCGGCTCGAGCGGATCTGGCTGGCAAAACGCGGATCTGGCGGGGGAAACGCGGATCTGGCAGGGGAAACGCGGATCTGGCGGGGGAAATGCGGATCTGGCGGGGGAAACGCGGATCTGGCGGGGGAAATGCGGATCTGGCGGGGGAAATGCGGATCTGGTGGGGGAAACGCGGATCTGGCGGGGGAAACGCGGATCTGGCGGGGGAAATGCGGATCTGGCGGGGGAAATGCGGATCTGGCGGGGGAAACGCGGATCTGGCGGGGGAAACGCGGATCTGGCGGGGGAAATGCGGATCTGGCGGGGGAAATGCGGATCTGGCGGGGAAATGCGGATCTGGCGGGGGAAATGCCCGCCCGCGTGGATCTGACAAGCGAACAACAGCGAACACCCTAATCTAAAGCCCCTTAGCTGATTTTAGGCCATGCGCCTGACAAGCCGGGCCCTAGCTCGAACCTGTGGGGCAAGCCGAGCCGGCCAATATCAGAGTGCCGGCTCGAGTTGGCTCGGCTCGGCTCGGCTCGGCTCAGCTCGTCACAGGCCCAGCTCAAGCCGAGCCGGCTCGTCTCGGTGCTTAGACCATGTCTAATCGGCAATTGTGTGCCTGTGGAGACGTCAGCATATGCGATACAGTGTCTGTACTGATGTCAGCCTGGGTATTATTACAGTGACTGTAGTGACGTCAGCGAGCTGATGATGGGCATCACGATGCCGCTGAGGTAGTTGTGGCTGACGTCACTGGTGGCAGCAGCAAAGGAGGAGAAAAGGGAAAGGAAAAGAAGTAAGGGCAAGGCTTTGAGTTGAGTCAACAGGAGCCAGTTACAGGTAAGAAGACTGAGCATTTTTTAGAATTCTCAAAAATACCCAAGACGACTGAGTTGAGTCAAGAGGAGCCAGTTACAGGTAAGAAAACTGACCTGACGACGGCTCCTACAGCTACTGGCAGAACAGGGAAACGACCAGTGTGACCAGTGCGACCAGTGCGACCAGTGCGACCAGTGCGACCAGTGCAACTAGTGCAGCAAGCAACCAGCACTTGCAGTTTTATAGCAACCGGCACCTACAGCTCGTATAGCGTCTGGCAGGTGGCCAGGGAGGGAGGCAGCCGGCCCAGGAAGGAATTGTAGGAGAGGTCTCTGGGGGGGGGCAGGGGGGGGCATTCAAAGACAACGTAAAATCTTGTGTCTGAAGGGAGGGGAGAGGGAGGAGAATGGAGGAGAGACCCAAGGGGGCTAGAACAGTAACGGACGAGGAGACCCAAGGGGGCTAGAACAGTAAAGGACGAGGACACCCAAGGGGGCTAGAGCACTAAAGGACGAGGACACCCAAGGGGGCTAGAACACTAAAGGACGAGGAGAACCAAGGGGGCTAGAGCACTAAAGGACGAGGAGTTTCAAACTCTAAACTCTGAACGCCTAAGGCTAGCTTACGCCACAACACCTACTGGAAGCCTAGAGACTGTTTGCTGCTGGTGCAGATGGGAGAGTGGAGCATGTGGAGGTGGCCATGCGGCAACTCACCCTACTGGTGAAGGCTCAGGGATCGGGCTTTAAGAGGGTGGGCTTATGAGTTTTGAGACCTCTAGAGACAGACAGCTTGCTGCTGGTGCAGATGGGAGAGTGGAGCATGTGGAGGTGGCTATGCAGCAACTCCATCAGAGAAGGGTTTACGGTACAGCACCTACAGGAAGCCTAGCGATGGAACGGCTTGCTGGTGGTGCAGGTGGGAGAGTGGATGTGGAGCATGCAGATGCGGCCATGCAGCAACTCAATCAAAGGGCTTACGGTACGTTATGAGTCGAATCAAAACATGCCATACGGCAACTCAATCAGAGAAGGGCTTATGGTACAGCACCTACAGGAAGTCTGGAGACGGAACGGCTTGATTCTGATGAAGATGGGAGAGTAGAGCATGCAAAGGGAGGTCATACGGCAAGTCAACACGCTGGTGAAGGCTCGGGCTTTCAGAGGGCGGGCTTTAAGAGGGCAGGCTCTACGTCCTCGGGCTTTAAGGCTTAGACCCCGGGCTTTACAAGGGCGAGTTCTCACAGGAAGCCTAGAAACGGCATGCTGCTGGTGAAGATGGGAGGCAGAGAGCCGTTGAGCTTGTTGCGAGAGATGTCGCTGGGAGGAGGGAGAAGGGAGGCATGAAGGGGGAGGGGGGGGGGGAAACCTTAGAGAAGAGTAAAGAGTCTGAGAGCCGTTGAGATGGGAAAGGCATGCTGCTGGTGAGATGGGAGGCAGAGAGCCGTTGAGCTTGTTGCGGGAGATGTTGCTGAGAGGAGGGAGAGAGGGGAGACATAGTAAGAGAAGCGGGGGGGGGGTTGGGAGGATGCTGATGAAGATGGGGGGCTGTAGAGCAGATGCCTTATTCACTCATGGTCTTGGGAAGAGCAACAGTGCAAAGATTTTTTAGGTGCCTCAAAAATCGGGGGGTGGGGGATGCTGATGAAGATGGGAGGCTGTAGAGCAGACGCCTTATTTCCATCAAACATGCAAGCAGACAGCAACAAGGGGTTTCTCTCTTCTCAGAGAAGGGGAGTTACAAGGGAGAAGAGGGAGGCGAGCAGAGAGACGGAAATACCCATGTCGAAATGGAGGTGTACTCCCATGAAGGAAAATGCTGGGCTTATGGGGAAAAGAGGGAGGAGAGGTCAGAGAGTTGGAGGGGGAGGGAGTGGAGAAGCCATGCGAGGCAGACAGCAACACGGGGTTTCTCTCTTCTTAGGGTAGGGGAGCAGGGAGGTGAGCGAAGAGAAGGAAACACCTATGTGGGAACACAGATGTACCTCCCATGAAGGGAAAAATACCGGGCTTACAGGGAGAAGAGAGGTTAGAGAAGAGAAGGAAATACTGGGCTTACAGGGAGAAGAGGGAGGTGAGCTCCGAGAGTTGGAGAGGGAGCGAGCCAGTGAGTGAGTTGCGATTGAGGAACCTGCAAGGAGCAACAGGGAAAAGGGGGGGAGGGGGGGGAGGGAGAGAAGGGACTTTTGAGTCGACTCAAAAGTCACCTGCAAGGAGCAACAGGGAAAAGGGGGGGGGGGGGGGGGGAGAGAAGGGGTGGCGGGGTTCCTGGTCAGCAGCAGTCAAGAGGAGCCGAGGAGTGAACGCGGTGACTGTTGAGTCGTAGATGGACTACAGGTGACATTTGAGTCGACTCAAAAGTCAGGTGGGCTGCCGAGGCTAAACCAAACTAGTGTGAGGAGTCTATTTTTGAGGCGCCTCAAAAACTCAGGTGGGCTGTGTAGGCCAAACCAAACTAGTTTCGGCTCTTGTGAACCGAGGAGTGAACGAGGTGACTTGTGAACCGAGGAGTGAACGAGGTGACTTGTGAGCCGAGGAGTGAACGAGGTGACTTGTGAGCCGAGGAGTGAACGAGGTGACTTGTGAGCCGAGGAGTGAACGAGGTGACTTGTGAGCCGAGGAGTGAACGAGGTGACTTGTGAGCCGAGGAGTGAAACGGGTCAGGATTTACTGCATACTTTTGAGAGAAAGAAACAATCCAGAAGCAATCGAGCTAGCTTACACTAAAAAATCCTATCAAATAGTAAAGAGATTAGATATATCGATACGGCGCGCTTTAGAAAGAAAGCGGAATTTCCCGTTCACTTCACTCCGTTGTCAAAACGGAGTGAACTCCAGCGAGTCGCAAAATGGGTTGTCAAGGGTGCTTGCTTACAGACAACAAGATGGCCAGACAGCCGAGGGATGAAAGGCATGAGGAGTCTATTTTTGAGGCGCCTCAAAAATAGACTCCTCTTTTGAGGCGTCTCAAAAATAGACTCCACTTTTGAGGCGCCTCAAAAATAGACTCCTCTTTTGAGGCGCCTCACAAGATGGCCAGAGAGACGAGGGATGAAAGGACGGATGGTGTATTGTGCTCTTTTGAGGCGCCTCAGTTACTGTGTTGTTGCCAACAAGGAGGGTGTATTGTGCTGTTTGCCAGTAAGAGTATTGTGCTGTTTGCCAGTAAGAGTATTGTGCTGTTTGCCAGGTGTCTGGTTTAGATTCAGTCACAGTGTTGTTGGTTCGCCAACAGCAGTCAAGACAATTCAAAGTGTCAAGGGTGCTAGACTATGGCCAGAGAGCTGAGGGAGGAGAGAGGGGAGAGGGTGCTTACACTAAGGCCAGGTAGAGTGTGTTGTTTGCCGACAGCAGTCAAGACCTAAGTTGGTTCCTTACGTTACGTGTACGTTTACGTTTACGTACGTTTACGCGATTCTGGTTTTAGGCCTGAATGTACGGGCAGTCTAAAAAAATTTAGGCTGCCCAAGGGAAAAAAATGGGGGGGATGGAAAGCCGACTTTTGTAAAAACGTTTGTAGGTTCTGATCTTCTAGTAGAAGATTATCACGAGTGGGGTGCGACGAAAGTCACAAATTGTTTAGCGAAATTCCGCATGCGCGAAATCTCGTCGCTGGTGCGCGTCAAATTTGGTGCCCCGGCAATCCAACCCGTCAATGAACAACCCCTACCTAACCCAACCCAACCCCCCTCGACATGTGTTTCTCCTTCCTCCCTCGACGAATGCCAATCGCTAACCTTACTCCAGCGACAATCAAGTCTAGACTACGTAGCATCTTACGACTAGGAGGAACGCGTATACTATCAGCGCAACGAATTTAGTTGCGACTTAGATTGATGGGGTAGATCAGTGCGGAGCGTAGGCATTAGCCGTAGCCTAGCCCTGAACAGCCTAGTAGTAGTTGTAAATCGCGTTTTCTTAGGGGGAAAATTTTGCCCGGGAAAAAAATTTGAGGCCTGCCCGGCGACGTACACGTAACGTACGCGTAACGTAACGTACACGTAAAGTTACGCGTACTTTACGTGTACGTGGGCTAAAGTCACGTAAGGTACCAACTTAGGTCAAGACCAGTCAAAGTTTCAACAAGGGAGCTTACATTATGGCTAGAGAGCCGAGGGATGAGAGAACGGAGGGTATAGATCCAGTTAGGGTGTTGTTCGCCAGGCCTCTGCACAGCATGGGCGAGAGGGGAGAGACAATTCTTTAGGCGCTTCAAATAGAGGGGGAAGGCCCTTTTTAGACGGTTAGAAAAAAGGGGGAAGGCAGGAAACTTCACACAAAAGAGAGAGGAGCCGCTAGGCTCTCAAGCTGCTGGGCTCTCGAGCTGCTGGGCTCTCCAACGCCCGTTGAGTCGGCGTAAAGTCACAGGCCAACACTACCAAACCAGCATGAATTTGCTGCAGTTCCTCCATGGTTTTTCTTAGTCTGCCAAGCATCGCATTGTTTGTTTCGTTTTCCTTCTTTCTTTCTTTCTTTCTTTCTTTCTTTCCGCACAATACGGGCATCAATTCGCCTCTGGTCACTCTGGTTGCCGCAAAGCAAGGCCACGGATCAAATATCAGCATGAATTCCGGGCACGATATGCTGGGAGAAGACAAGGGGGGGGAGGACGGAGGGGGATGGCCGGGAGAAGAACGAGGTAGGTGGGGGGGACTGACAGGTACTGTAGCGTGGCAAGAGAGGAAAGGCCGGCAGGCAAGGAGCCCGAGAGCTTGTTGTTGGACGCACTCCTGGGATGTGGGGAGGGGAGAAGAGGGGCAGGCAGACGTGGCGAGAGGGGGCGGGCGGGGGGAAAGGGGAAGTGGCAGAGGCGTGTGATGGGAGGAAGGCCGACAGGCAAGGAGCCAGAGAGCTTGTTGTTGGACGCACTTCTGGGAGGTGGGGATGGGAGAAGGGGGGCCGGCAGAGGTGGAGCGAGGGGGCGGGGGGGGGGGATGGGGAAGTGGAAGGGGTGTGTGATGGGAGGAAGGCCGACAGGCAAGCAAGGAGCCAGAGAGCTTGTTGTTGGACGCACTTCTGGGAGGTGGGGATGGGAGAAGGGGGGCAGGCAGACGTGGCGAGAGGGGGCGGGGTAGGGGAATGGGGAAGTGGCAGGGGTGTGTGATGGGAGGAAGGCCGACAGTCAGCAAGGAGCCAGAGAGCTTGTTGTTGGACGCACTCCTGAGGGGGGGACGGGGCAGAGAAGGAGGGCAGAGTTGCGTCGCTCTTCCTCTGGATCCAAGCTTGGAGAAGTCAGAGGCGGGGTTAATGGAGAGGGGGGAAGTCAGAGGGAAACAGCAGAGCGGTGGGGAGGCGGGGTTAATGGAGAGGGGGGAAGTCAGAGGGAAACAACAGAGCGGTGGGGAGGCGGGGTAAATGGAGAGGGGGGAAGTCAGAGGGAAACAACAGAGAGGCGGGGAGGCGGGGTTAATGGAGAGGGGGGAAGTCAGAGGGAAACAACAGAGAGGCGGGGTGGCGGGGTTAATGGAGAGGGGGGAAGCCAGAGGGAAACAACGCAGCGGCGGGGAGGCGGGGTTAATGGAGAGGGGGGAAGTCAGAGGGAAACAACAGAGAGGCGGGGTGCCGGGGTTAATGGAGAGGGGGGAAGCCAGAGGGAAACAACAGAGCGGCGGGGAGGCGGGGTTAATGGAGAGGGGGGGAGTCAGGGGAAACAACAGAGAGGCGGGGAGGCGGGGTTAATGGAGAGGGGGGAAGTCAGAGGGAAACAACAGAGAAGCGGGGTGGCGGGGTTAATGGAGAGGGGGGAAGCCAGAGGGAAACAACGGAGCGGCGGGGAGGCGGGGTTAATGGAGAGGGGGGAAGTCAGAGGGAAACAACAGAGAGGCGGGGTGGCGGGGTTAATGGAGAGGGGGGAAGCCAGAGGGAAACAACAGAGCGGCGGGGAGGCGGGGTTAATGGAGAGGGGGAAAGTCAGAGGGAAACAACAGAGCGGTGGGGAGGCGGGGTTAATGGAGAGGGGGAAGTCAGAGGGAACAACAGAGCGGTGGGGAGGCGGGGTTAATGGAGAGGGGGGAAGTCAGAGGGAAACAACAGAGCGGTGGGGAGGCGGGGTTAATGGAGAGGGGGGAAGTCAGAGGGAACAACAGAGCGGTGGGGAGGCGGGGTTAATGGAGAGGGGGGAAGTCAGAGGGAACAACAGAGCGGTGGGGAGGCGGGGTTAATGGAGAGGGGGGAAGTCACGAGGGAAACAACAGAGCGGTGGGGAGGCGGGGTTAATGGAGAGGGGGGAAGTCAGAGGGAAACAACAGAGCGGTGGGGAGGCGGGGTTAATGGAGAGGGGGAAGTCAGAGGGAAACAACAGAGCGGTGGGGAGGCGGGGTTAATGGAGAGGGGGAAAGTCAGAGGGAAACAACAGAGCGGTGGGGAGGCGGGGTTAATGGAGAGGGGGGGAAGTCAGAGGGAAACAACAGAGCGGTGGGGAGGCGGGGTTAATGGAGAGGGGGGAAGTCAGAGGGAAACAACAGAGCGGTGGGGAGGCGGGGTAATGGAGAGGGGGGAAGTCAGAGGGAAACAACAGAGAGGCGGGGAGGCGGGGTTAATGGAGAGGGGGGAAGTCAGAGGGAAACAACAGAGAGGCGGGGTGGCGGGGTTAATGGAGAGGGGGGAAGCCAGAGGGAAACAACGGAGCGGCGGGGAGGCGGGGTTAATGGAGAGGGGGGAAGTCAGAGGGAAACAACAGAGAGGCGGGGTGGCGGGGTTAATGGAGAGGGGGAAGCCAGAGGGAAACAACAGAGCGGCGGGGAGGCGGGGTTAATGGAGAGGGGGAAGTCAGAGGGAAACAACAGAGAGGCGGGGAGGCGGGGTTAATGGAGAGGGGGGAAGTCAGAGGGAAACAACAGAGAGGCGGGGTGGCGGGGTTAATGGAGAGGGGGGAAGCCAGAGGGAAACAACGCAGCGGCGGGGCGGGGAGGCGGGGTTAATGGAGAGGGGGGAAGTCAGAGGGAAACAACAGAGCGGTGGGGAGGCGGGGTTAATGGAGAGGGGGGAAGTCAGAGGAACAACAGAGCGGTGGGGAGGCGGGGTTAATGGAGAGGGGGGAAGTCAGAGGGAACAACAGAGCGGTGGGGGAGGCGGGGTTAATGGAGAGGGGGGAAGTCAGAGGGAACAACAGAGCGGTGGGGAGGCGGGGTTAATGGAGAGGGGGGAAGTCAGAGGGAAACAACAGAGCGGTGGGGAGGCGGGGTTAATGGAGAGGGGGGAAGTCAGAGGGAAACAACAGAGCGGTGGGGAGGCGGGGTTAATGGAGAGGGGGAAGTCAGAGGGAAACAACAGAGCGGTGGGGAGGCGGGGTTAATGGAGAGGGGGAAAGTCAGAGGGAAACAACAGAGCGGTGGGGAGGCGGGGTTAATGGAGAGGGGGGAAGTCAGAGGGAAACAACAGAGCGGTGGGGAGGCGGGGTTAATGGAGAGGGGGGAAGTCAGAGGGAAACAACAGAGCGGTGGGGAGGCGGGGTTAATGGAGAGGGGGGAAGTCAGAGGGAAACAACAGAGGGTGGGGAGGCGGGGTTAATGGAGAGGGGGAAAGTCAGAGGGAAACAACAGAGCGGTGGGGAGGCGGGGTTAATGGAGAGGGGGGAAGTCAGAGGGAAACAACAGAGCGGTGGGGAGGCGGGGTTAATGGAGAGGGGGGAAGTCAGAGGGAAACAACAGAGCGGTGGGAGGCGGGGCAAATGGAGAGGGGGGAAGTCAGAGGGAAACAACAGAGAGGCGGGGAGGCGGGGTTAATGGAGAGGGGGGAAGTCAGAGGGAAACAACAGAGAGGCGGGGTGGCGGGGTTAATGGAGAGGGGGGGAAGCCAGAGGGAAACAACGGAGCGGCGGGGAGGCGGGGTTAATGGAGAGGGGGGAAGTCAGAGGGAAACAACAGAGAGGCGGGGTGGCGGGGTTAATGGAGAGGGGGGAAGCCAGAGGGAAACAACAGAGCGGCGGGGAGGCGGGGTTAATGGAGAGGGGGGAAGTCAGAGGGAAACAACAGAGAGGCGGGGAGGCGGGGTTAATGGAGAGGGGGGAAGTCAGAGGGAAACAACAGAGAGGCGGGGTGGCGGGGTTAATGGAGAGGGGGGAAGCCAGAGGGAAACAACGCAGCGGCGGGGAGGCGGGGTTAATGGAGAGGGGGAAGTCAGAGGGAAACAACAGAGAGCAGGGTGGCGGGGTTAATGGAGAGGGGGGAAGCCAGAGGGAAACAACAGAGCGGCGGGGAGGCGGGGTTAATGGAGAGGGGGGAAGTCAGAGGGAAACAACAGAGCGGTGGGGAGGCGGGGTTAATGGAGAGGGGGGAAGTCAGAGGGAACAACAGAGCGGTGGGGAGGCGGGGTTAATGGAGAGGGGGGAAGTCAGAGGGAAACAACAGAGCGGTGGGGAGGCGGGGTTAATGGAGAGGGGGGAAGTCAGAGGGAACAACAGAGCGGTGGGGGAGGCGGGTTAATGGAGAGGGGGGAGTCAGAGGGAACAACAGAGCGGTGGGGAGGCGGGGTTAATGGAGAGGGGGGAAGTCAGAGGGAAACAACAGAGCGGTGGGGAGGCGGGGTTAATGGAGAGGGGGGAAGTCAGAGGGAAACAACAGAGCGGTGGGGAGGCGGGGTTAATGGAGAGGGGGGAAGTCAGAGGGAAACAACAGAGAGGCGGGGTGGCGGGGTTAATGGAGAGGGGGGAAGCCAGAGGGAAACAACAGAGCGGCGGGGGGGCGGGTTAATGGAGAGGGGGGAAGTCAGAGGGAAACAACAGAGAGGCGGGGTGGCGGGGTTAATGGAGAGGGGGGAAGCCAGAGGGAAACAACGGAGCGGCGGGGAGGCGGGGTTAATGGAGAGGGGGGAAGTCAGAGGGAACAACAGAGAGGCGGGGGGCGGGGTATGGAGAGGGGGGAAGTCAGAGGGAAACACGGGTGGGGAGGCGGGGTTAATGGAGAGGGGGAAGTCAGAGGGAAAACAACAGACGGTGGGGAGGCGGGGTTTAATGGGAGGGGGAGTCAGGGGAAACAACAGAGCGGTGGGAGGCGGGTTAATGGAGAGGGGGAAGTCAGAGGGAAACAACAGAGCGGTGGGGAGGCGGGGTTAATGGAGAGGGGGGAAGTCAGAGGGAAACAACAGAGCGGTGGGAGGCGGGGTTAATGGAGAGGGGAAGTCAGAGGGAAACAACAGGCGGTGGGGAGGCGGGGTTAATGGAGAGGGGGGAAGTCAGAGGGAAACAACAGAGCGGTGGGAGGCGGGGTTAATGGAGAGGGGGAAGTCAGAGGGAAACAACAGAGCGGTGGGGAGGGGCGGGTAAATGGGAGAGGGGGAAGTCAGAGGGGAAACAACAGAGAGCGGGGGGAGGCGGGGTATGGAGAGGGGGGAGTCAGAGGGAAACACAGGAGGCGGGGGGGGGCGGGGTAAATGGAGAGGGGGGAAGCAGAGGGAACAACGGAGGGCGGGGAGGCGGGGTTAATGGAGAGGGGGGAAGTCAGAGGGAAACAACAGAGAGGCGGGGTGGCGGGGTTAATGGAGAGGGGGAAGCCAGAGGGAAACAACGAGCGGCGGGGAGGCGGGGTTAATGGAGAGGGGGAAGTCAGAGGGAAACAACAGAGCGGTGGGGAGGCGGGGTTAATGGAGAGGGGGGAAGTCAGAGGGAAACAACAGAGCGGTGGGGGAGGCGGGGGTTAATGGAGAGGGGGAAGTCAGAGGGAAACAAAGAGCGGTGGGGAGGCGGGGTTAATGGAGAGGGGGAAAGTCAGAGGGAAACAACAGAGCGGTGGGG